CATAAATAGTCCTTGAACCATCATCGACATATCGTTTTGGTCCTTGAACTATTAAATCTATCATTTTAGTCTTTAAACTATTTACTAAAAACAAGTATATTATGCAATTTACGAATCTATCCTTGGCATACATATGGGACGTAACTGCTGCAGTGTGAACGAATGTTGTGCATATGAGTGCACCTATCTTACTATGCACTGCATAATATTAATTAAACTTTAAATTTTACACCAACGTACACACGTGATTAATTTGAACTTTACATGGGAAAAGTGTTTTTTTTTTGCGTGAACTCGACCCTATATATACACACATACACATACACATACACATATACAGATTTAGGATCAAATACAAATAGTCATTCACATGAAAAGTAGAAATAAATCTGGAGCATCGGATTTAGAATCTAATGGCTCTAAATATGTCCAAAATGCATTAAAGTGGATGAAAAATGTAATGACATTTTCGTAAATAAGTCAAATAATTTTTTCTTTGCAAAAAATGAACTTGTTGCGTGCAATAGTGTACACCGTAAATGAACAAAAGTGGACGACATATAATTTTTCAATGCAGTAGTGCAACTCAGATCCTATCATGCTGGTCTGACAAGACGCATCATCCGGCCAAGGCCAATTGGGGCTCTTCCCACTGGAATATGTTGATGAAAGTTTTTGAGCATGTTATTAATCAAGTATATATTATCTCCACAAAATTTAAGCTTAGAATTCAATCGGGAAATTAGTTAAATAAATTGCTAAAACATAATGCGCTTTATGTATATAAATAAAGCGCAGTGTATTTTAGTAATTTATTAATCGGCTTATCAGTTGAATTTTAAGTTGCAATTTTATGGAGATAATCTAAACTTGATGAAGAACATGCTCAAAATATTTCATCAAAAAACGCAACTCGGAAGCTCCTCAAACGGTCTTGGGCGGAAGGCAGGTCCTATGAGGCAGGCCTGACAGGATCATTACTCTTCTTTCTAAACAAAACAACCTAATAAATTAGATAAAAACGTAAAATATTACTCTGTATTCAGTGTTCTAAAAAGAGGGAAAAGGCGGGGCCTAAGCATGCCATGCGTGAGGCGGCGAGAAAACGCCGTGCATAGTAGAAAGTCATTGAAAGGCGTAAGCCTAGGCGTGAAAAGGCGTTTTTTAGATGATTTTTTTTGCACAGAAAATAATGATTAAATTTAAAAAACAGACTTTGGCAAGCATGTTATATATGGAATCTACTCCGTAATACGGAGTAGTAAAAAGTAACAATATATTATTTTGTATTTGCACTTTGTTTTAAAAAATTGTACATATTGATCAAAGTAAAAAATTAGGCTCAATCTTGTATAATATATTTTGGATTTTTTTTTTTGTTCATATATCACTGTAAAATAGTAATTATTAATGGGAATTTAAAACGACTTTTCACCCTTAGGTTTCCACTATTCCGGCCTAGGCTTCAAAGGCGGCTTGGCCTCAGCGTCTTGCCCTGCCTCACGCCTTTCAGAACATTTTCCGTAATACCACTAAATAGGCATGTTTGGCATACGTAAGGATGACTAACTTTTTTGGTATGTGTGACAATACACGTTTAGCTGTTAACGGATTGTGTCAGCGAATAATTGATATCAAATTTAATTAGCGGATTTGATTAACGGATTAAATTGGCGGGTTGCAAAACAATGTTTGGTAATAAATTAGATGTCCGGTCTTATTGGTTAGTAGGTAAATAATAATAATAATAATAATAATAATAATAATAATAATAATAATAATAATAATAATAATAATAATAATAATAATAATAATAATAATAATAATAATAATAATAATAATAATAATAATAATAATAATAATAATAATAATAATAATAATAATAATAATAATAATAATAATAATAATAATAATAATAATAATAATAATAATAATAATAATAATAATAATAATAATAATAATAATAATAATAATAATAATAATAATAATAATAATAATAATAATAATAATAATAATAATAATAATAATAATAATAATAATAATAATAATAATAATAATAATAATAATATTAACAATAACAATAACAATAACCATAACAATAACAATAACAATAACAATAACAACAACAACAACAACAACAACAACAACAACAACAACAACAACAACAACAACAACAACAACAATAACAACAATAATAATAATAATAATAATAATAATAATAATAATAATAATAATAATAATAATAATAATAATAATAATAATAATAATAATAATAATAATAATAATAATAATAATAATAATAATAATAATAATAATAATAATAATAATAATAATAATAATAATAATAATAATAATAATAATAATAATAATAATAATAATAATAATAATAATAATAATAATAATAATAATAATAATAATAATAATAATAATAATAATAATAATAATAATAATAATAATAATAATAATAATAATAATAATAATAATAATAATAATAATAATAATAATAATAATAATAATAATAATAATAATAATAATAATAATAATAATAATAATAATAATAATAATAATAATAATAATAATAATAATAATAATAATAATAATAATAATAATAATAATAATAATAATAATAATAATAATAATAATAATAATAATAATAATAATAATAATAATAATAATAATAATAATAATAATAATAATAATAATAATAATAATAATAATAATAATAATAATAATAATAATAATAATAATAATAATAATAATAATAATAATAATAATAATAATAATAATAATAATAATAATAATAATAATAATAATAATGAAAGAGTAGGAGAAAAGTAAGAATAAAAATGAGAAAATGGAAAAAGTTAAAGTATATGAAAAAATTGAAAAGCAAATATGGGTAAGTTGAATAAAGTTTTCAAGTACTGTATGAAAATATGAGAAATAATAAAATACAGAGTAATAAAAACTGCCCAAAAAGTAATACATCACAAGTATAAGAGAACGAATGATGTACTCCGTATTAATTAGTATATCTATAATAGTAAAAAGGCTAAAGGGTCAAATAGGCCCTTGAACTAACTTAAAGTGTTCAATTAGCCCCTTATATAGGAGGTTCAGCCCGGCCATCGCCAATTGGGGAGGTTCCCGGTTGAATTTTTTGATGAAATTTTTTTGGCATCTTCTTCATTAAGTATAGTTTATCCATATCAAATTTCAGTTAAAAATTAAATCGGGAAGCCAGTCAAATGATTTTCCAAAATGTACCGCGCTGTTTAACTGCGCAGTTATCTTCAAAAAATCATTTGACTGCTTTCCCGGTTGAAATTTTAGCTGAAATTTGGTATGGAGAAACAAGACTTAATGAAGAAGATGCTCAAAACAATTCATAAAAAAATTCCATCGGGAACCTACCCCAATTGGCGATGGCCGGGCAGAACCTCCTATATAAGGGACTAATTGAACACTTTAAGTTAGTTCAAGGGCCTATTTGACCCTTTAGCCTAGTAAAAATTATGTATCGTGTTCCTAAAAATGGTGTATGATGATACATTTTTATACAAATACAAATTATATATACATATTGCTCATCACTTTTTTTCACGAACTTAAGTATATATACAAACAATGCAATGCATGAACACTGCAAAAAAATAATGAGATTGACACGAATTCTTGCTAGGGATTCACCAATATTTATAGATGATTTTGCACGAATTCGCCTAATTCATGCCAAATGCACTTTGTTACGAGGTATTTGGCATGAAATCATCGATCTATTCAAATCCGTGTCAATTCCATTATTTTTTTGGAGTGAAATAGATTGTCTAGATGACAATTTTTTATAGCACTATTGTGAAGAGACTGTAAGTGTAATTATTTGCTCAAAGGGATAATTTTAATGGAAACAAATACAAGTAGGAAAGTGACATGTATACAACCCATATATATTATCTAATCAATTAAATACTGATAGTCTATGGTGCATCGATACTTCACCAGGACGCCGTATTCGCGTATCTGATACTGATACACGCTGATACACGCAGTGGCGGAACTACAAAAAAATTAAGCAGAGGCACAATCACATAATGTAAAGCGTCACATTCATAATAAAATTGTCTTAACAAATTACACTAATAAAACATACCAAATTTAATCAAAAGGGTCAACGTAATGGTGCTAAGTCCAACCTACGGGTCCTCATGTTCTGAAAATGTTGGATAATAACATCATTATCGATGCGTCTAAACACATCTCTTTCTACATAGCAGACTACACAATCAGTAAGAAAATCATCTCCCATTTTATTACGTAAGGCGGTTTTGACAATCTTCATCGCTGAGAAAGCTCTTTCCACTGTCGTTGTGGCAAAAGGCAAAACTAGTGCCAAAACAATCAGACGGTAAACTAGGTAGAAACAATATGAATTCCAACTTCAACCATCTTTTGAGATAACTCTCCAATATTCTGCAAATGGGAAAATCTTGCATTCCCTCTCATTTCAGAAATCCAAATTTGAAGTTGTTCTTCAAGTTCCTTGCAATCTAGATTTGTGAAATCATTTGGATATAATGATGCAAGCTCAATTAACTTTGCCTCACAAAAATTGGAGAAATTGTTCTTGGGATCAAGACATGCTACACACTCAAGTAATTGTGTCCCAGTCTCACTGAAACGATTGTCCATCTCCGTTTGAATTTTATCGATGACCTATCATATTAAAGTAAAAAAAACTATCAGTTATGAACTAAAATTTTACATAAGAAATATAGTAAAGTATTTACTTTTACCTCATATAAAACCTCATACTGAAGATAGTGATAATTAGTTTTATCACCTCCAACACGCCTTGACCGAATGTGTGTAGCAGGATCATCCAAATTAATAATTGTGATACCATGTTTCTCACAAAACTTTTTCACATCATTAACAAAACTTTCTCATCCAGTTTCCCTCAAGTCTTGCACTTTCTCTTTCGTAGTTTGAACCAAACTAATAGCCTCAAGAATATTCTGATTTTTTTGTTGCAGAAACTTAGACAAAACATATGTCAAGCCTAATACTTTTTTCATCACATGGGCAACAAAAACAAAATAATAACTCTCCATTTTCTCAATTAAGCTTCCCGCCAATCCTCTACTTTTAAAATCAGCACCATCGTCATATATCTTACCTAGTACTTCAAGAGTGGGAGACCATAGTAATAGCAATCGAAGGATGGTAGTATAATGAGAACCCCACCGTGTAGCTCCTGGTCGAGCTAAGGAGCATTCTTGATTCAAACCTCTTCCAGTTTCTATTTCTCCCTTCTCTAGCATTTCCACTAACTTTTCCTCTTGTATCTGTCTGAACTCATCTTTTCTTTTGCAAGAAGCTCCAACCATGTTAGTAATCATACTAAAAAATTCAAAGAAATCACTCACAAAACGATTAACCGCCGAAACTGAGACAACACTCAATTGCAATTGATGAGCAAAACAATGTATGCATCTAGCACATGGATTTTCATTCAAAATCAGAGTTTTCTGACCATTGAGCTCACCACGCATATTCGATGCTCCATCATATCCTTGACCACGTAACTTAGAAATCGACAAACCATGTTTGGTAAAGAAATCATCTACGGCACTTTTTAAAGAAAGAGCAGTAGTATCAACAACATGAATAAGACCAAGAAAACGTTCTATCACTGCCCCATTATCATTAACAAATCTAACAACAACAACCATCTGCTCTTTTATAGATGAATCACGAGCCTCATCAACTAACAGAGAAAAATATTTTCCCCCAATCTCACCTATTAACTCTTTCCTAGTTTCAGAGGCACATGCGTTAATAAGTTCTTTTTGAATTACTGGACTAGTGAGTTGATGATTGCTCTGTGCATTGTCCTTCACAACCTTTGAAACCTCATCATTCCTTGTACTATATCAATCAAGAAGTTCTGAAAAACTACCTTTATTGGCTGAGTGTTCATGTTCATCATGCCCTAGGAAAGCTAGTCCCTGCACAAGAAGAAATCGAACAATATCCAAACTAGCCGTGAGGCGAACACGATAAGCGGCCTCTAATTTGTGTTTACCAATGGCTACACACCTTGTCAAACTCTGCCTTTGATCCTTAAAAGCTAAAAAATCAATTCTAGCATCATTGTGCGCAATGCTTTTTACATGATCTCTAAATTTTTCAGGGCCTTTTTTCCAATTACGGAAACCTTTTTTGACAAACACTTCATCGCCAAATCTTTTAATTTCATCTCCTTTAAACAAATAACACCAGAAGCAAAATGCAGCATCTTCAGACACTATATTCCAACCATTCCCATTTTGTATACCATTCCTTTTGAAATGACCTAGATTTGTTTCCAAACATAGATCGTGGGAAATCATGTAAATGTGGTTGGCAAACACCTTTTACAACATATTCCCTTCTTATGGCATCCCTAATCGACGGTTCATAATCATTTATTGATTTTGTTAAACCTGGATCGCCAATTACTTCACTCTTAAGCTCATTATCTAATCTAGCTCTTTTTTCTCTACGGTCATTGTCCGTCTCCCGCATTTCCACCACTAATAGATTGTCTAATCCTACTCCCACTCTTGCTACCAATCCCACCATCCGTGTCTATAGGTGTAGCTCGTAGAGAAGCATTTGAAGAACTAGCACCGGAACTTTTTGGTGTATTTTTCAAGGGGAAATATTTCACAATTGACATTCCCTAATGATAAATATTGAAACAAAAAATAATTAATTCAAGTCAAACTATTATAAATACTTCTTTTCATTCAAATAGTCAGTTAAAAGTTTAACACAAAAATACAATAACACATAATCATTATATTTAATTCAATCTATTTTACACTACATATTTTCAAATCATAATTATGAATTTAAAAAAATCAATAGTGAAATACCAAATTTCATTTAATTTAAAAGAGAACAAAGAGGAAGTCCGAAGTTGGAACATACCAAATCAGCAAATGGCGGCTGGTGGAGACGTCAGACGTGGAGTGGCGCAGTGGCAATCCGATGGAATAAGGGGAACAGGAAATAGCAAGTAAGTGATGAGGTATTATTATCTGTTAATAACTCCCTAATACAATATTTTCGCTAAGGCTCGTCGGCCGTTCGTCTTACAAGGCAGTAGAGGTGCTGCGAGTAAGAATGCTATAGCTAGAGTGCTAAGAATAGAAAGTTGCTAACCCTTTACAATGAAATAAATGCTTCTATTTATACCACCAATGGGCAGTTGTCTATGCTGACGTGGAGGACTGTGGGTGGCTGGTGTCCCAACCACCAAATCTTCAGCATTAAATGCACTTCCCGCCAGAATCTAGGTTTCCCCGCCTAACTGGTGGGGACGTTCGTCCGGCCGGGGGGGGGTGAGTCGCTCCTGGTGGCTTGCAAAGGGTATTGGGCCGTTCGTCCCCTGGCCCTTGGTGATTTTCGCCATGTAGACTGGATTGCCTCCAACGGCTATGGGCTTGCTCTGACGACGTTCGTCGTCATTCTGATGGCCTGTGGGCCTGCTCGTTGTCGATGGCATAGACGTTCGTCGGATGGGCCCCTGAGCCTGAGGCTCTTCTTCAGACGTTCGTCCGTACTGAGTAAGTGAGCCTGTCAGGTTAGGTTAGTGACCTATCTGGACGTACGTCCGGATGAAGGGGTAAATGGGCCGAACCTCAGTTTGGGCCATTAACCCAACAAATACGTTTTTTAAAAGTCAACGTTTTTTCAATGAATTTTTGACTATATATTTTTCCATCCACGTTACTGAATAAATCGTGTACATATAAACCCTCGTTTAATTTCCATGTTGTATTCAATTAACTAGGATTGAATGCAAAGCCAAATTGATTATTCTAGACTCCAAAAGTCCAACATAAACCTTAGAGATAAGTAAATTTGAGTCGTTCTAATTTTTCGCTATGTTTAAATCATTTTTTTAAGGGGGCTTAAATTGATATCACAGCATTAACATTCAGATAGGGAATTAAACGACAATAGGACCACAGACAATGTCAGCCCTCGAACCAGGCTTAGAGTCAATCATCCTAAAAAAAGCAATATACTCGTTGATTCTATAATGGGAATAAATGAGCCAACGACGGTTAAAGCAGGTCTTCCATCACCCAATCGTTATGCAAGAGTCTTACAATAATAAAAGTAACCAACAAAAAATAAGTAGTTTGATCATGAAAAATAAATTGAAAGCAAAACATTAAAATTAAAAAGATGCTTCCAAACCCTAGACTCTCCTGCACTCCATGGCGGCGGTTCAAGAGGGGGGCGATCCAGCAGTACTGTAGCTTCTTCCTCACCTTGCCTCTTATTTATCATATTCTCTATCAAGTCCCTATGTCCAGATTTGTTCCAGCCTCTAGCCCCACACTTTGTCCATGATATAGATCTTTGATCGTCGAAGAACAATCATCCATCTTCCGTCCCTGCACAACCTTCAACCGCCGTAGACCAAGCAAAAGAAGAAAAATAGCCGCACAATTGACGGCGAAAGAAGAAACCATGTACGCCTAAGCCCGCATTATGGCCGCTCCTCGTTACAAACGATAGCGGAGGAAAAAACCCTACCGGTGGAAACCCACCCCTAGAGAGAGAGAAAAGCCAAATACTATCGTATATGTGATTGATGATTATGTTTAAATCATCTATAATACACCACACACACAAAATCGATTTTAATTTATTAACTTGACTTCACACTCCTGTAACATAAGTTACTGACTGGTCACACTCCCACTGGTCAATACAAGGTATTTTAAAGTAAAATTAGGTTTAGTGAATAATGGTGAATCCAAAGACATAACCATAATGGTGTTGGGAAAAATATTATAAGGTGATCATATTTAAATGGAATTTTTAAGCTGCTTAAATATGGTTAAATTGAATTTCATTTTTAAAAAAGTGACTAATTTTATGTGTGCGTAAAAATGTGAACAACAAAGTATAGATTTGGAAAAATATGATGTCATCATAGATTTTTATGTAAAGTTTTTTATATCAATAGTAGATGTCATTTTACTGTCGTCAATGTTCTAAAAGGCGTGAGCCGCTAGTCGAGCGCCAGCGCAGCGGCTAGGCGGGCGCCTAGTCGGGAATTAGTCGGAGACATAGAAATTGCATTTTATCTATATTTTTGCATAAATATGATAAGTAATATTGTGTTTTTGTGTGTATAAAACATATACATTAACATTAACAAACATGAATGATAGAATTATCACATTTAATCATATGTAGTATATGATAACTAATCAATTAACTTCATTATGTTATAAATATAAATAATGATAAAATTTGGGTGTATATATGTACAAACATATATAGGTTTATCTTAATTTACAACTTCATTTCTTTATATCCATGGCTAAAGTTAAAATACGTATAACGCTTAGAAAATTAAAATTAAAATTAAAAAGTAAAGTAATGTTTGACGAATCTAGACAGTCTAGGCGGCCAAATTAGGCGCTCTAGGCGGGCAACTAGGCGCTCTAGGCGGGCAACTAGGCGCCATAGGCGGCCGACTAATTCACTAGACGGCTAACCAATTAGTCGGAGCGCCTAGACAAAAATCGGGGCGCCCGATCACCGCCTAGCGCCTAGGCGGGGACTAGTTAGACGCCTAGAACGATTTTTAGAATAGAGAGTGCCGTGTCACAAATGTCACTACCACTGTGGTTTTATCAATGTAACCGACGAAAATTTTCCGATGAATTTTTCCAGCGCTTTTTCAATAAATGAAAAGAATAAAAACCAAATTTTGTTGTGACTTTTCGGACGACAGCTAGACAGGCGTAGGGTGGGGGTTGAGGCAAAGATTGGATATAAATTACAATGATAAAAAATTAGGTCAATTAAACAGAAGGTTGTTCCTATTTTTTAAAACACTAATCACTTGTTTTTTGTATTTCAAAAGGTTGGGGTAATATTTTTGTCCTTTTTCCTATGAAATTACTTTCAAACAAGACAAATATTGCACCTTGACAAAAAGATATGATGTCCTTAGACTAAGGATGTTGAGGACGAAGTGCATGTTTGGTAGGAAAGTCTTAGTACCTTCTAGCTTTTGTTCTATTTGAAAAGTCTTTATAATCTTCTAGTTGGATATTTGACATGACAATAATTAAGAGTTATGAAAAATTAAAGATCTTTTTGGAGAAGCCATATTTAGTCACTTCTGAGAACAACATGTACTCCGTAGTTTTTTAGCATTAATTATTCACAACATGAAGCCAAATAGTAAGTTTTTTTATCGAACAACTATAACCTTTTTCTGATAACATACCCTAGATCTGCATGGATTTCATGCTCTCGGGATGTATCATAATGATGAGTTAATGAGATACACTTTTAAATATGGGTGTGCGCCAATGCAAACCGGACTAGACTGGATCAGAATTGGATTTGTAAAATAATAGTAAGTGAAGATTAGGTCAAAATTATCTGATTTCAAACTAGAATTGAACCAATTTAACCTATTTATAATGAAACCAGATTGAAATAACAACATAACTCTGCGAGTAATAATTGAGATTATTTTCCTCATTTGGGAATATGCAGCTTATAGGAAAATTACAAGGCTAGGGACCTAAGTCCAAAATGCTAACTAATGAGAAAGTGACATCAACGATGTCGGGCTTATGTAGGATGATGTGGCACTGATGTCAGACTGATGTAAGATGATGTCACTCTTGAAAATTGGATCATAATGGCATTGATAATAATGTTGGCCCTTGGTCGTCTTCCTCCCTCTCAATGTTGTCCATAGCCATGCCAACCTTGGTTTGTGACGGCTCTTTCCACATCTGCGACAGTGACCGCCAACATCTCTTCCTCTGTGCCGCTGTCATTAATGCTCCTATCTAATCAAATAATCTTTTGCACTACACCATTCTTAGTCTTCTCCTTGAATATTAATCCTTTTATTACTCTATTGGCCTTTTCCGAAAGGACTCGCCTCTAATAAGCTCCAAATCAAGTTAGCTATTCAGTACCTTCGCTCCTATGACCACAATTCAGTTGCATCGGCATTTACTGGACAAATTACTTCTTCCTCGGGGGTGGCTGCTTCTTCCCAGTGTGGTGCTTTCGTTCATGGGCGTCACGGGCAGCGGGGGGCGTCAAGGGCACCGTGCCCACTGACAGGCGCGGATCTACATTGCCTATAGTGGGGGCACATGCCCCCAATAAGCTTCTATAAATGCATTAATAATATAGAATTTTTAGGAAGTATATTTTAATTAAAAATGAATTGCCCCCAATAACTTTTTTCTTATGCCCCCAATAATATTTTTGAAAAGTTATATGGGTTGATAAAAACTGATTTGATCAATCTTAAGAACACTCAATTGGACTATATGAAAATGATATAGAC